CTAAAGTGCACAGATCAATAGATTTATGTATGCAATACTGTTTCCTTGTTTTACTGTACTTTCTGCCCCTATACAAGTTATACGGGAATGATTAACTATTTTCCACTCCTCCCTATTAGACGTTTTTATCACAGACTTGTATCATTCTTCTTTCCATGTCTGAACAGAAAAGGGTGATCAAAGGATCACCCTCTTTTGTTTCTTCTGCTGTATATAAATTCATTACTCGCTTCGCCACATAACTTATTACCTAATGAGTAAGGTAAATTTATTCAATGTATGAGTTCGAAAACCCTAATATTACGAATGTGATTTTCAAACCCAGACATTGATTTTCCTATTCTGTCATTCGGCTAGACTCTTAATGTCATTTGTCTAGACTCTAGAGCAACTGATTTTAAAGGTAAAAATTGTTATGCCTAATAAGACAATCTACCGAGACCGACATAAAAGTTACAGGCGATTATCTATGGAGAAACCAATTAGATTCGATGGACGATCACCTTCCTAGTCTAGTAAGTAATCCAATCTTTGAACTGGGGTCACCAACCTATACGGCTGGTATTTTCACCAATAGAGCACATTCCATTTTTGGAGAATTCTATTCTCTATTAAATAGGTATATTATTAATGTGTTAGCTAATTATCTAACTATTAAACGTTAATAACATATTTTTCATTAATTACACGTATTTACCTAAGTACTAGTTTAATGTTATTTAATTTCGTTGATAATATTGTAAAACGTTAATAAGTTATGTTGGCAATTGGGTGTGTAGGTAAGTTAACGATTTTCTTGTGAAAAATATTGAACATTTTATTATGTAATATTTCCAAGGTTATCCCATTGTTATCATAACAAACTTCGATATAATTTGTCACGGATACCGGCTAGTACCATGCACCATAGATTCAATAGAAAATTGTCTGCAGTGCAGCAATATTTATAAAAATAAGTTTATACCTATAATAGTAGGTATTATGAAAGTCACCAAAGAAAAATTAATGCATAAATCCACTTTCTTACATGCCTTTAACATAATTAATCTAAATATTGAGGTTTATACAAAGAAATGTTCGTTAAGTTCAAACAAATGAATCAATAATCATGATTTATGGTGTTTCTCAATAAGATTAAAAATAACTAAGTTTTCTAAGCTAGCATAACAGTATCTACGAATAAGTTGCACTAAAACCATGAAATATTATTATAATCTTTCTTAATCGAATATTTCTTAACTCTTTAAATAAATAAAAGAACGAAAAATTCGGAACGTGCTGTTGCTCAAGTCATAAGTCAGGGGTCGTTCATTGTGCTTCACTGAGTCACTGTCATCCATCCTCCATATTGATAAATGTGACAGTTCGCTCGATAGGCATGCGACAATGCCAAGACAATACGTTCCCGATGAACAATAGCAGTTTTTATAGCATTTATCTGGTAAATTATGGTGCCGTCATCATTATGCATTGAAATGTTAAATGTCTGCAATATTACCTATTGCTTTTAGGCATGAAATAGGCGAATCTAAATCTATTACTATTTTGATGTGCCTATCCAGCTGATAGTCCGTTACGATATTTGAAATTATTATAGCAATGTTATTTAAGTGGGTACTTCCCATTCAAATATGGTAAAGCACGCTAATCACTAATTTGTATTTACTGGATATACTATATATATGTAGGTTTGCGATCTAAGCACTATGTTATTAAGGTAAGTACCTATTACCGATTGCTTGAAATATTGGTCAACCAAAAATTATACATTTTGAGTAATAGGTATATTACAAATAAATCAATTATCTTATTTTTATCTTAGTGTTTATTGTAAGAATGTCATCGATAACAGAAAACCTGCTTATTCATTTATTTATTTATTATACCTTAGAACTGTTGAGGTTTGCCATAACAAAAATTATTACACTCCGTACCTGTATTGCCATTCTTTTGAGTGCCACACGAAAATAAACAGAAATCTTTTGAGTTTTCTTTGAATATCCGGCGGTTCATTCGGTTCCTATTGTTATAGGTACTGTTTACAAAACAGTTTCTTCGTACGTACCCACAATTTTCTCTTCGAAAGATCTGATGATCAAATCGGTGCGCTGGTTCGCTGATCTGAATATCATCGTGCGAGAAAGTTTCGCATTATGTTATAGCGGATTACATTCTTAGCAAAAACCTCAATTGAGAAGAGAGAGTACGTATTGTTTCCATAATACTGGCTGCAATGAAATTACTAAGTAATAGAATTTAAGTGATTTGGTGATTGAATTATATGGAAAGTGCATTCGACTTTCAGATTTGTAGTAGGTATTAAAGCTGATGTTAGGTTCAGTGCAGTGCAGCGTGATACAGGATGTATTGAAGACTGTTTAAGTCTGATGTTCTCCTAATATTAACAAGATTTTAATACGACCACTATCGGACTAATGTAGATATGAGATAAATTTCGCTGTTTCCAGGGTTAAATTATCTTCTTGGGTGGTACTATGATTACTTTCAATTTAGGTATTACGCCTCCTTTTGCATATAGGTAAACCTATTTTTAATAGTTCAGGTAGCTATTGCTTCCAGTTTTAAGCATTTCATTCTTCGGAGTTTCGATGTTCGGACGTTATATAAGTGGTCCCACTTCAACCAAGGTCACTTCGACCCTGTTCATGTGTCTATTATCAGCAAATATTTTTCTATAGGGGCTGTTATATTAGGGTGGTTCCAAAATTGAGTTATATTTTGGCTCGGTGCTAATAGCACTTAAATTGAATTTATGAAGAATGACTTTAATAAGGATCATTGTAGTTAAGCGCAGACAAATACAATAATCTAAGCATTTAAAAATTTTAGTAAAATATAAAACGTAATCTCAGAAATCATCTTAATTCTTTGTAATTCAAATCTATGTACCCACCGTGTACAGATTTTGTACACTTGTATTCCCCACGTTTGCCGGTCAGTTACAGCAATTAGTTGTAATACCAGTCGTCCGTCAAACACACGTAGCAATAGAACGAAAGACGTAATTCCATGTCTTTGACCAGCCAGCGCGTGGAAGCCAGTTTAGAAACAATGTTGCAAGTTAAAAATATCTTACATCAGTAATGACTTGCAACTCCCGCCATCGCCATTGCAAAAAACAACGCCGAAGCAAAAATACTGGTTCTATGGCGCGAATTAAAAAGTAAAAAGTATTTTTCAATTTGATATAAGTAATCCATACTTTTCAGCAAATAAGTTACGCAGTAATTTACCTACATGCGGTTGTTATATCTGTGGAATACGTAATTTTTGAATTTCATTGGTGCATAACTAACGTGCGTCAGTTTTTTTATTCCTTAATCGCGTGTGCGTGATGAGGCCTAAACGAGTTTTGTAACACCACCATTATAATATCTACGTCAGGTTGACTGGTAAACGTGCGGTTTGCTATGAAAAACACAAGATGGAAACCGGTTTGCGTGAATTTACTGAAAAAGATACAAAAATTAAGTATACAAAAAAGCGGCGTCCGTGAAATGTTAGATGGGTATTTATTATACACGCTTAAATTTTACGTTGCATCCGAATGATTCCAATTAAAATCTAGTGTAGCGGCGTGTCCCTCGTACCATGAAACATGAAACAAGCATTCAACATAGCATAACTCATACGATTTAGAGCGAAGAATATTTCTTAGTGCTAATCATAATTTGTAATGACTTATCGCACTTAACACTTCGCGTATTAAATGTACTGTACCAAACTATGAAAGATTTAATTACAATTATAAAATACTTATCACTCCTCCAAGTGAATGTTCCGCTGTTTATCTTTAATAAATCACAATTTCCTCAATATGTCTATCAACTTTCATCTACGTGCGTTCCGAGTCCATGCATAGGTACTCATTGACCTGGATTTCGAATGAAATTTATACTTTAGCGTTTTGTTCTTTGCGGGCAAGGTTACGCGGCAAAAACCTTTCACAGGCGGATCGATGGAGACGTAGTGTTGCGACTTTTGTTCTAGTTTATATGAACATAACACTATTTTACTTACTTATTAAACTATATCGTTGTGTAGCCTGTAGTCCAGGACCGGTGATCGATTACTTGTGTAACGTCCTTGATTACACACTCTTAGGTGTCTGGGCAACAGCTGTCGCATCACCCCAGACATCGTCGTCTGCCATCTTTCGCTAATGAGATGGTTTCGAACCAACTTAATAATGTTCCAAACTATCTGTATGTGTAACTGAGTTAAAAAGAGTAACCATGGAGTTTCTTGCTCGTTCTTCTCTATAGGAATCTACACTTTGGAACTAGCAAATAGCTTCACTAAAAGGACTGACAGACAGTTTTTTTTGACGTACAAAAGTGCGTGTTATTCTAATTGAAATAAATGATTTTTACTTTTTGAATTTTGTGTTGTGATTTTACTATAGTTACTTTATTATATAGTGTCCAACTCTCCGCCAATCTTTATGTCTTTCACTTTGCACATTCCGATGTCTTAACGTGTCCGTCTAGCTAGACTCTATAGACTACCTAGTGCTTATTATCTATTGTGAATGGATGAATTAACACTAATATAATATCGCAGTCACGTAATAATCAGATGGTATAGTCTTAAGACTCTAGAGAATTAATTACGCATAGCAATGAATAAATAGTGAGAGCTGTATAAAACAAATGCCTAAAATATTTAGACACCAGGTTTTGTCCGCGACTCCGTTCGCGTGGAATAGTGAGTTCCTACAGATTTTTGGTATAAAAACTATCCTATGTCCTTTCTCGAGTTCCAAACTATGTCTGTACCAAATTTCACAGAAATCGGTTTAGTAGTTTAGGCGTGAAGAACAGACAGACAGACAGACAGAGTTACTTTCGCATTTATATCTAATAATAATTAGTTTGGATGGTGCAGATTCTGGGTACTTAATTATGACAAACACGCCCAATACAACAAAAGAAAGCGTTTTCGCACCGATATTAAAATTGAATTTCCTTTGGTTACAGATTTGCAGCTGGCAGCGGAACTCGGCAAGACCCTGTTGGAGAGGAACAAGGAACTCGAAACAGCTCTGCGTCAGCACCAGAACATCATCGAAGATCAAACACAGGAAATCGAGGTGAGAACCTAAATTAATGTTATCTGCCACTAATATAACAACAGATAAAAAGGTAGTAAATTTGTTTGCTGGACATGGGATAATCTTTGGAGCCGCTGGTCAGGTTTCCATCTATCACTGATAGATAGCTACAATGTTCCTGGGTGCTATACGCTCTAGGTAAATTATGCTTCATTTACGTAATCTTGTCGAGCTAGGGATACTTTTTATATGCATGGGCGAAGTCGCGAGTGGAAGCTAAAATAAAATAAAACAATCTACATCTAAAACTAAAATAACAATGACAGTTACAAATAAATATGTATATAAAATAGACAGTAATTGGTAGGTATAGGCACACGCACATTTTGATATATGTAGGCACACAAAATGTAAAACATAATAACTACTTATCTTGATTTCCGTTTGAACTTTATAGCCTACTGTACCTAATTACCTACGACCACTAGATACAAGCTACGTAAACAAACAAATTTGCTCAAACAAGTTTCACAGCAAAAAAGTGCTTCAAATTAAAACAGAAAATCATTTCAAGTACCTACGCTATATATCAGAAATGATTACCTCATAATATTGTAGTAACTTTGAATTAATATGAATGTTGTTATTTCAGTACTTAACGAAACAGACGGTCGCTCTCCGTGAGGTGAACGACTCCAGGTTGAGGATCTACGAGCAACTAGAAGTGAGCATTCAAGACTTGGAGCGAGCCAACCACAGGCTAGCTGTCGACCATGCCGCCGACAAGAAACACATTAAAACGTAAGTTAAAGATGTTTATTGCTTATCGATGCCAGGGTTATCATACCGGAATCCCTCACCCCACTTTATCTAATCAACACTAAGCCGTGACTCACAAATCAATTTATGATTGCAGTCTGTGCGCCAATATTGAAACGCTCGAGAACAAATGTGAAGATCTACAAAAGACTGTCGACGACCTGAACGCCCAGCTGGAAATCTCCAGGCGAAGGGCAGAACGGAAAACAGAAGTAGAAGTACCCAAAGAAAAAGAGAAATCAGTCGAACTTACTTTAACCGTCAAGAAACCTGACGTAAACAGTACACCGGTCAAAACGGTAGCACCTCTTCCAGAACTGAATAAAGAGGACGAGGACTTACTCAGGCTTAGCGATGAACTGAGAGAGAGCAAGGTAGCCTTTGCACAAGAACAAAGAAGGGTGACGGAACTGGAAGAACAGTTGGCGTCAATGATCCAAGAGAACAACAGACTAAACGACCAATTCAGGAACTGGCAACAACGAGAAGATGAACCCAAGTCCATGCACGAAGAGTTTGCTATCCTTGAAGAAGTCAGGTATATAATACTGCTATTTTAAATCTTAATAACTAAGATATATTGGCAACATATCTTAAATTTTTCTTTTCTGCAGACAAGGACAACTGTGCATAAGATGCCTAAGAGGCGTGGAAAGGGGAGACGACATGTCCTCTATGCTAGACGGAGACGATGATGATAGGAGCGCAATCAGCTCGTTAATCCTCCCGCCTTCTGGCCAAGACAGTCCGCGAGAAGATCTTGTCACTAACAAGCTCGTCAAATTCGACGTAAGTATTCTGACGCCCCATTTGCACGTCCTTGAAAAATCTGTTAAAAAGCTTTATTATCTTTTTGTAGAAATTCTTTTCTGTTATTAACAAAGTGTACATTTAATCTTCCTTTTATTTTCTTGTCTTGTGTAACAACATTAACTCACAGTTCTGCGTATTACGCAAATCGACTAACATCATTAACACGCTAAAACTAATCAACGTGTAGTACAATGTGGAATTCCATTGACAGACCCATACAGTATTCATTTGTACCGGACTGTTGGTGCTACTGTTCAACAGTCGACACACGAAACACTTTCCCACTTTTCCACCGAAGATGATCGTGTTGGATAAATAAAACATTGGCCTCGGATTTCGCCAACAATCTCATATGAATTTCGCTCGTTTCTAGGCGACAAAGCTTTTCCAACTGCCCCTGATGTTGTTGATCACGCTTTGCATATGCATTATGAAGCGCATTTGCAGTAGTTTTCTTTGGATATATCGTATGTAGTCGAAGGTACGTCCATTACCGACTCGTTATTATACTAAACGCGAATAGTGCACGCTGAACGACTCATGGTGGCGGTAACCGAAGTGTATTAGTTGGTAACAATCACTTCGTAACTAACATTCTGAGTGTGATTATTGTATCTGTTGGGTACAATAGGGATGTGGGATATTAATAATAATTATGGTCTTCAGAAATTATAATTATAACAATATATAAATAACAATAAATAATGTAATTCATAACACATTGTGTAAGTGTGTATGAGCTTTTGTGTACCTAACATGCAGGATAATAATAAACTATAAATATTTTGTGTATTAATACTTTACTAATCATGTCATCACGGAATGGGTGTATTTTTGACTAATAGTTATTATGTTTTATTTAATTAGGTGTAAGTTGATTAAGTATTTGTTTTTATCCAAAGATCATTTTCATATTCAAAGTTCATTTTTCTTCTATAGACCTTTGCTAACTTAGACTTCTTTTTCAGTAACAGTTTTGTTGACTTTTCATTTATTTCGCCGCATGGGTGCCGTCAGATCTTTAAGAACACATATAAGTTTTAAAACGTATTTAATTTTTGCAATAATAGTTTGTTCACATGTCGTAGGTTAGGCCTTTAGACCAGCATTGAGTTCTCCTTTAATCGCTACTCGTAATCTTACAGGTCAGGTTTTTAAGCAACTGGCATTACCTACTCTAGATTCTGAAATATCGCAAGTAGACCAAAATAAGTACAAGACAATTAGATACCAAGAGTTTTGATGTTTGATTGTGTAGGCTAAGGACTATTAAGCGCTAAGATTACTCATGGCACTGTTCAGGGGATTCATTATGATCAAAATGTATAAATATCCGATGGGTGTTATTACAAAGGTTATCGAAAATAGTGTTTTACCTGGGAGCTCTAGTTTTTACGACACGCTGCCGGCGCCCATGTCGAAATAACTTCATTCAAATAATATCAACACAGTCATATAACAAAGCATTACATGTTCTACTACACATTACAAGTTAAACTACAACGTACCTTGCCATCGTAATCTCACTGGTTTCAGAATATTAACCAATAATCCATATTACTTTACAGAATGCCAAGGAAAAGTTACTCCAAGGTATATGGGCGAACAAAGAAGATGGTCACGATAACCCTTACAGAGAACTGGTACAAAAGTACGAGGCTCTTTTAGAAGTTCAACTGTCACAGGTTAAGAACATCAGAAAGACCAAACCCACCCCTTTGCCCAGCAATCAGAACGCGCGCGGTCCTCTGTCTCTCCAGGACGAACTTCAAACGTCCGGAGACTACAGTCAATTCAGTGTGAAAGACACTGACGAGGAAAGCGGTCACGGCGAAGAACAGAAAGGAGTCGGTCAAACAAAGAAGGTTGATGCCACTTCTCGAAAGAAGATTATACAAACTCCGGACTTTTCGGAAGCAGAGACTTCCAGCTCCGGATTTTCAGATGAGACCAGCAACAAAGCGACACAGACGGAACGTGAGCGACCGGGCTCATTCCTGTGCACCATCGCTGACGGTGAGGACTACCGTTTCAGTATTTACGACGACGTCAGCCCCATGGACAGTCGGTTCCGCAACAGACCAGAGTACCGCGAACTGTTCAAGGAAATATTTACCATCCTTAAGAAGGCGGCGGAGAACAAAGACGACGGAGAACAACTGCCGCTCCTAGACGACACCACGGCTGGCAAGGTTCCACCTGTCACACCCGCGAATGAGGAGGCGCCCGGCAACTTCACCGACGATACGCAGAGCGTATTTTCGTCTGTGATGTCTGAACAGTCGATTCCAGTGTCTGATATTACCATGCCTGAAACACCAACTCTGAAGGAAAAAGAGAAATCCGTACCCGAAGTGGTCAAAAAGGAGGAAAATAGTAACAAAGAAAATAAGCCAGTGGCGGAAAGCACCACGGAGAAGCCAAAACCAAGCCCCGCACGCCAAGGTAAAGAACAAACCCAGTCAAAACAAAGAGACCAGAGCGTGCAGAGGGAGAAAGAAAAGGAAAAAGAAAAAGAGACCGAAAAAGAAAAGAAGGAAGAGAAAGAACGAGTTCTGACTCCGTTGGTGCGTCAGCCACTGGAATACATAGCGGCCACTAGAAAGAAGTCCAGACATCGCAATAGAAAACACAGCCAAGACCGGCAGGGCGCAGACTCTCCAGTGTTCCCGTCGCCTCCTAAGATCACGTACCAGAAGTCATCGAACAAGAAGAGGAGGGACTACAGGCCGATCGAAGTGAGTCCCCTTGTCAGGGCAGCCGAGAGCGAGTGGAACGGCTCCACGCTACAGTTTTACAACAGGAACTTGAATTCTCCAACACCCAGCGCAAGCGGCCGGACGGGCAAAATTTACCAAGGATGGAACCCTGAGACTGACTCGTGGGACATCAAACAGAGCACGGCGTCACAAGAAATACACAAACTGAGGAAGCTGGAGCTTTCCTATGCAGAAGTATTGAGGAACGCCGACAAAACTAAACCCAGGCGCAAGAAACATCAATAAACATTTTAATTCATCGACCCCTCTTACTCTCAGTAAGAGCCGAGTGATCAACAGCCATTTGTCATTGCCAACTGGACATAAGTAATTTAGATTAGTATTTGTGATCTGGTAGTGTAACTTTTAATTTTTACCTATATTATTCACAATCACAAATTGCCATAATAACCGGTATAGTTGTCGTATACCAGTATATTTATGTATGTATTCCTATAATCAATTTTAATTTATTGAACTTTCACAATACCCTTCCCTCCGATATCACGTTCGTCTAATTATTTCGTATGAAATATTCTTGCATTTAGCCAGAGCACCTTCGTATGTCTCAATATAGTTTGTACTGCCTGAAATTGAGTTCAATTCGTTTCTATTCAACTGAATAATTTAATTTCTTCCTATTTTAGTCATTATTTTAATTGTATATTATGTATTTGATCATTGATTTGTAAATAATTATTATTATGCATTTTAAGTTAATTATATTTTTTTAATTGCCATCGATATTTTCGAATATTTCGAACAACGCGTTTTATGTATGCTGAAGGTATTTAATGGAGACAAAGTGAGAGAGAGGTTGAAGGTATAAATAAAAATTTGCATTGATATTAATAAGTTTTTCATTTCTCCTTCAAGAACCATGTGTATAAGTATTAAGTAAGTATAAATTAATGAAACGCTAAATATATTACAACGATATAATTTAGGGTTACTTTTTACATGGATATAATGTATACATGTGTACGTGTGAATTGGGATAAGCAGGAATAACAGTATAGTGTCGTGTCGCACGGACATGCCCGTCGTGACAATGTTACCATCAATATTTGACCGTACTGCTACTAAAAGCATTAAGATACCAACAAGTAATTTTGAGTACATAAAACATAATTATTCTAAAAAAATGTTAGAAGCCTTTGTACAATTAATAAGTTAAATTTTATAATTGATTACATTTATTGAAATTAAGTAGACAGAAATGTAAAGCAGATTAAAACAGCAGTTAAAACTCAAAATTGAGAAAGCGTTAGAACGGTATTTTAATAACAGGATGGCTAAGGGAAAATGGGAAAGCGAGAGCTTGATACCGTACTACACATTAATATTATAATCAGCCTATAAAAAGGGTGTACTGGCTAAGAGAGAGTTCAAAACTCATTGCGATGACGTCACACAGGCAAATATTTCATAGGATAAAAAATCTTACTATCAGTTTAATAACATAAAATCAATTGTCTGATGCGAGTCAGTTATAGATTGTTTCCTACTAAAAAATAAAATTTAAATAATCAATTGTTTTATTTTAAATATTAATAGAAGTTTACTTTCAAGATTTTTAATATTTTTAAAATGTTGAAACCTTTTTTTTACTCTGGTAACATTTGACTAAGCATTGTGCAGTGTAGTTCAAATTTGTGTTGCCACAACAGATTTGTGGTCTCGCTCTTACACGGCATGTGCGACACGTACGACACGACACAGAACTAAGATTCCAGCTGGAATTTGTCTACTTATTCTGTACTTCTAATTCCCTCTCGACGATCTTGCGGTATTCGTCGAAACCTCCTTCTATACTAGTGACGGAGCCATTTCCACACACCCATAGCTCCTTGCAGACCATTCGTATTAACCTCTCGTCGTGAGATACCAGGATAACACCGCCCTAAAACAATTATTATTATTAGAATTGAGAACAATGGGACGATTAGAATAGTATTGAAAACAAAACAATAATGGTGTTTGTTGTTTATTTAAATGGCTTGTATATTTTTGTATTATATCATCACTAGTTTTATAGCTCGAAAGAGGATAATAATTAATGTAACACTGTTATAGAAGGTGACTTTACACTACTACAAATTTGCTAGAATTCTGATCCTAGGAATACACACGACCGTTTCAATATTAACTAGCAGTCTGATTACCTGATGGTAAGCAATCGGCGCCGCCCGTGGATACCGGCAAAATTAGAGGAGTTACGAGAGCGTTGGTGCGTTAAGATTAAGATTTTGGAGATGTCGTTATTCAGAGGGGTAGAATTTGGCCATTGCAATTAAAATTACACGACGAAATACATTAATAAACAACATTAATAAACAAAAGCCTTACAAACTTACCGTATATTTAGTAATAGCCTTTCCTAATGCCTCAATGGTCTCGATGTCCAAATGGTTGGTAGGTTCGTCGAGTACTAAGAAGTTGGGGTTGCCCATACACATTCTAGCGAACGCCACTCGAGACTTCTGCCCTCCGGACAAACTGGCGATAGTTTGCAACGCGAGGTCGCCACTGACGCCGAAACTGCCCAATTGTCTTCTATATTCTTCTATTGTTTTACCTGAAGTAAGTAATAAGGGTTTTTTTCATAGGGTATCAAGGTCCTACGAGATGTTGTGTAATATTAAATCCAAACTAATATTATAAATGCGAATGTAACTCTGTCTGTCTGTCTTTTCTTCACGCCTAAACTACTGAACATATTGGTGTGAAATAAGTATTAAATCAAATGTTTCAGAAAATAACTACGAATTATGACATATCATACATAGTTGTAGACTCTGTGCTACTATGGGAATACTCGAAAGGCCAAAAAAGCCCAATACAATTTGCCAGATTCGAGAATTTATCAGAAACTCCTTGTTTAGCAAAAGTGCTTACTGAAACTCTTATAGCACTCATTTATTTTTGTATCCGTATGTATCGTCATAACAAATCATTAATTTTATCGGATTATTCCATAAACAAGTCACGATTAAAGTTTTTACTTAACAATGCTAAATTCGTATAAATTAGTCGGCAGATAAAAAAGGAGCATAAACAAAAGTAAACCACAACAACTTATAAAAAAGGTAACACTAATAAAAATGACTCAGCGCGCAGAACAAATCAATTAACCTTCTTAAGAGACAATAAAAGCAACCTAAAATGAACTTTATACTGAATTCACTAAGGTACATACCTGGATAACTCTTTTGTAACAGTTCTACTGAATTGACGTTCATTTCCAATTGGTCGACGTGATGCTGGGAGAAGTAGCCGAATTTCAGTCCTCTGTGCACGCTCCGTATCCCACTGGTGGGCGACAGTATGCCCATTATTATTTTTAATAACGTTGTCTTACCGGCACCGTTGTCACCAACCTAGAATAATATTTAAGTAAGATAATATTAATTTCCCATAGAAAAATTTAATCAAAATCTACTATTTAACAAAATAGACAGACCTTATACTAATAATAAATATAATTTTCCAATAAACAAAAAACAGGGTAATAAGGAACAAGATTACAAAAATACATTTCTCTTTATTTTACCACACTAATCTCAAGAACTAGGACGGACTATTTGAACGAAACTTTTTAATTGTATAACTATAACAAATATATGCTTTTTTTTTGTGAGGGGAAAATCATCAAATGACTTCTCCCGCCCAGGGCCGGGCAGGAGGGAGTGTCAGACTCTTACTGACTAAAAACCCCCCTGTTCCTTCTCCTGCTCTGTGCCGAGGTCGCGGTACCTTATTGCGCTTACCCCGCAACCCCGGCTGAACATCAGCCCTTTAGGGCCCCGTCTGTGGTGGTCTATTGGCTCTTTGAGGCGCGCGCGGAACGCTACGCGCCGTACGCTCGGGCCTGGTTCTGGTCGGGCGGCGAGCTGCCCTTACTCGCCGACCGCAGGCCCGTACTTACGGTGGCCGGAGATCGTCCCTCGATCCCCGACGCCCGTAGTGTCGCCAGTTGCGGCTGCTGGGGCGTGAGGAGGAGGATTGCTCCCTCACGCGGGCCGCCTCTCTCTTTGCGAGCATGACTGCTTCACAAAAGGAGGAGACGGCGTCCCAGTTCCTCTCACTCCGCACCATGGCCTCGACTAAGGCCGGGCGCGAGAGGTCGCCGCCGCCGATCACTTCCCTGAGGATACGGCGGTGCTCAGCCCAGGCAGGGCATACCGCTACCGTATGCTCCACCGTATCCTCTAGGTGGTCCTCACAATGACGACACTCGGGCGTTTCCTCCCGCTGAATCCGAAACAGGAACCTACCGAAGCTGCCGTGCCCGGTAAGCACCTGCGTCAGACGGAAGGTGAGGACGCCGTGGCGTCTCTCAAGCCACTCCTCAAAGAGGGGTCTTACCGCTGCTATGGTAGCGTGCCCGGCCCTCGGTTGCGACAGTCGTTGTCTCCACTCTGCCATGAGATCTCGCCGGAGCTCATTCCGCCACGCACTTATTTGGCGCGGCAAAGGATCTTCGCCCCGGCTACGCGCGTCTGCGCGCAAACTGTAGACGCGCGCGAGCGCCTTCGCTTCTAGATCCCACGGCGGTGATCCGGCAAGGAGGTTCGCCGCCTCCCCGGAGATCGTACGATACCCGCGGATTACTCGTATAGCCATGACCCTCTGGGACGCGACCAGCGTACGAGCCGGCCGCCGCTTCAAGTCCGGCGCCCACACAGGGGCACCGTAGAGGGCCATGGATCGCACAATCCCCATATACAACCTCCGGCAGGAGGCGTTTGGCCCCCCGAGGTTGGGAAGGAGCCGCTTGAGCGCGGCCCCAGACCGTTCCAACTTAGGGGCCAAACGACGAAAATGCTCCGTGAAGTTCCATCGGCTGTCGAGGACGAGACCCAGGTACTTCATCGCCGACTCGACGCCGATGGTAACTCCTCCTGCCGTTACTTGGGACCCACCTGGAGGTGGCGCGCTCCGACGGCCATAGAAGCACATGGCCTCGGACTTGTGGAGCGCCACCTCGAGTCCCAGCTGCCGGATCCTTGCAACGACTGTCGCAACCGCTTGTGACATCAGGTCGGCCGCCGCCTGATGCGACCTCCCGTTCGCCAGCACCAGCGTGTCGTCAGCATAGCAGACAATGCTGACGCCGCTCGGGAGGTCGGTGCGTAGCACCCAATCGTACCCGATGTTCCACAGGAGAGGTCCCAGGACCGATCCCTGCGGAACACCGCGCGACACCTCTCGCCGATTCCACACGCCCCGGTGACCGGGGTAGATGACGCATCTGTCCGTCAAGTAAGCCTCGACTACACGACGGAGATAGGCAGGCACCCGGTGATACCGGAGTGCCTCCAAAATGCAGCTCCAGGGCAGCGAGTTAAAGGCGTTGGCGATGTCCAGAGACACCGCCACGACGACTCGCCTCCCGGCCAACGCTGTCCCCGTCGTGAGGTCCCTCACGCGCATGATGGCGTCCACCGTGGAGCGCCCTCTTCGGAAGCCGAACTGGCCGTCCGCTAAATCCGGCCCCCTTCCAGACAGGTGCCCGACGAGGCGGTCTGAGATTATCCTCTCGAACAGCTTTCCCACCTCGTCGAGCAGCACAATGGGCCGGAACAAATATATGCTTGGACTATTGTCCAAGCATATATTCACACGACGAACTTGAATAGAGTATAGGTTATTTTTAAAAAACTTTCTACTAATTTAATTATCAGAACTTACCTACTGCAAGCAAAGTAGCTTAGATCGTATTCGCGAAAATCAAATATGCCAATATAACCAAAATCTGGTCATCGAATTTGGTACTTGCAAGTAATCACTTAAAAAATAAACGATTAAGAAAGAATCTCAGAAATACTAAACAACATGGTAATCAAGTCATTAAATTAAATTACAACTCTACCATTGTAGTCAATAACAAACTAGTTCCCACGATTATCATAATACTTTTTTTGTGAAGTCGGTTAAACTAACTAATTTAGTATCTATTCATGTTGTCGTGCCTTTAAACTGTCGATCGCTGGATCGCTCATTGTGACATGTTTCTCACGAATCATCTAATTGTTGAAGTGATCATGACATTATCAATTTTAAAGAAAGATATTAATTGCAATTTGATGAATTCTTAACATTCATGGAATTTAATTAATATGGGTGTTCTGAATTTTTAGACTTTAATGTTTGAGAATCTGGTAGACTGGTAGAGAATGCTTATTGCATTAAGTCCGCCTATGTATAGTGTTTTGTGAATGAAGTTTCAAATAAAAAATAAATATGGTGGTGACAAGGATTTTTATAAGAGGTCACGTGGATTTATTATAAGGAGGTTAGAGACAATGCCGCCAATGAACATCGGAAACACTAGAGGCCACAAGAGGCTATTTGCTTCATCTTTAAAAAGAAGGTTGAATTGTTCCTTCAACTTGTCTAATTTTAGTGTTAGCTAAGTATTATGTGTTTTTCCAATTTTACAGTTAGGTATTTGAACAAATGATTGTAACAGTTATTTGTTCCAAAATACATTATTTTGTTATGTCAATTTGGATAAGACATTTATATTTTTTCATTTTTTTACAGTATTACAGTGGAAGCTATGTCTGCCAACAAATTGTTCTGTTGGTTTACAGACATAATAGAAAAATTGAAAGGGTTGAATTGTTCTAAACTAATACTTTTCTATATTATTATTTTTATAACATATACTCCCAATTAGTGATCTGTCTCATTATAGTTGGCAGGCTGGCCAAGCAAGGTACAGAATTTTTTGAATTTTAATTGAAAGTGTCCCTTTACTTTTCCCGGCGGGAAAAAAGCCCTAGAACCCTTCGCTACACAGATATGATTATTATGATATGACTCTACTAACGATGCAATCAGTTCCGTTCCAGAGAAGGCAATATACCAAAATTTCAATAACAACTTATAAGGACA